CCCTTTCCCTTCCCCCCCTTTCCCTTTGGCTGAGACAGAATCCCTCCAATCCCATTCGCGTCTATTTATCCGATGGCGTTGGGGAAGAGAGGAATGGTCGGATAAAAATGATTGGCAGCGTAATATGGTGGAAAATGGCTGTATTAAAAATGATTCCTATCTCCGATTCACAAGTCTCTTTCCCAACCGAAAATTGACGCACTGAGATTGCAGAAAGATTGGTCAGGCTCCTTGCAAGACCAAGTTCGAGCCGCCGAGGCCAACGTACAACTGAAGCTGAAATTTCCGATCAAAGTCAGACGCGACAGGAAAATCGCGCTGGCAGGTGGGATCTCGATCTCCTTTGATATGCAATCCTTTTTCCCAGAATTCAATTGAGGTTTTTCTTTTAAATCCCCCAGACGTAATTGACAATCATAACCTTTGACAGGCAATGCAACGATAAGAAACGCTGGTCAATCATGTCTGCCTTTATTCCTTGCCTGACGAAGATATCAAGAACATGTCATGAAAATGCACCAGAATAACCTTTCGTCGAGTAACTCGTGCCGATGCAAGAATTATCTCGAATTATCTCGAGGTAACACACGTCGACGGAAGTGGGAAAGCGCGCACCTATTTGCTTCAAACGATAACTCTGTCCTGCGATTCGGCGTTAAGACGGAAACGGATAAGAGCGGAATTCGTGTAAATAGGAACCTGACTCTTTTCCGAAAGCTACGAGACACGCTAAAGAAACGACTCACAAGGCAGAGCGGAGAACAGCAGCGCCGAAGAAGGACGAGGAGAACCTGTTGCGTGAGTGAATAGGATGCCGGCCGACTATATACCTTCCCTGTGCCTACGCCCCTATGCGCATGCGCGATGTTCTACGGGAAAACCCGCGCATGCGCACTGGGGGGCACTTCGCTCTTCGAGGAGCCGTACCCCATTAGGTCTAATGAAGCGGCGACTGCCCCATTAGAAACGGTCCAGAGGATCATTGATTCCCGACCGTTCCGCGACCTCGTAATACCTTCTGACGGGGCTCATTTCCCCCGAGATACCTATCATTGTGCCGGGACGTCAGTGCTCCTCCCAATCAAGTCTTCGCGATCATCAGTGCCTTCAATGGAATTCTCATCCTCATCGTCCATTCCATTGTTAGCAACCAGAAACTCATCGTCCGCTCTCGGCCGTAGGCCGTCACAGCCATATACCGACATGGCCATATACTCTTACGGCCTCCCACTGGCTCGTTCCATCGTGGGAAATTATCGGAAAAAATTTAACCAAACGGAAACTACCCTCGTCGATGGATTCACTAGCTGGAATCACGAAGAGAGATTTCGCCTTCAGATAGATTTCCGCTTCGTGGAAGCATCTGACGTCAGAGACGAGCCCTCATGAGATCCGTTTCCGCTTTGGTGCAACATGTCGCGGGTCTGATGGAGACACACGAGACCCCGAGCAATTACTGCTCAAAGGTACTGCTTGACTGATTACCGTCCCTTGCCTCGATTCTCGCTCATCCGTGCGGTTCTTGGCTGGGTGGCCTCGCTGGGTCGTGCCTGGCTCGAGGTGCCCCTCGTGGCGGCGGCCATCTTGGAGCGCAGTGATGCGTGATGCAGTGATGTGCGAGCGATGCTAAAAATATATATTTGCATTAATCTTCATCTGTTGAAATGATGGATGGAAGTTGCAGTTGCGCCTCCCTGAATCTTCTTCATTTTCGGTTACAGACATAAATTTTTTACTGGTGACAGTTGGCGCTGCACTTTCGAAATGACGCGAATTGAAGGATATTTAACTTTCTTTCAATTCGTCAGACGGAGAGGGGAAAATATTTGATGCGTGAAATCCATCCATTTTATCAATTTTTTAAATATTATTTATTAATGATTTCCTTTCTGCCATGGCCCATCCTATCTCATTTCCAAGCTCCCTGAGCTTTTCATTGGAAATCTATATCTCCGCATTCATCTTTTTAAGCCAAGTCTTACTACAGGGCTTCCCACCCATTTTCACGAGCGAGCCAAAAAATGACGATCAGGCACCCCAAGCACTGGCTGAAGTTTAACAGGTTTTCCCACCTCTAAATCGCAAATAAATAAATAAAATGACATTTAGTTGCCTGTTCGCGACCCCAAATTTGATCTCTCCGACCCCAAATGAAGTGGCGAAGCCTTGTCTTTATATATCCTACTGATTAGAAGGAAGAGAGCTAATGAAGCAAGCAATTTTGTTTCAGGCTTATTTCCCTCCGTTTCATCAAAGGCGAATATTGCGCATAAAACTTTTTTTTCTTCCTTTCCTTTTTTTTCATTTGATCCAACTCGATAGTTGATGAATGAGGCTCTTCCTTCGCGAACGGGTTCGAAGCAATTGCTGATGCTAGCGACGAAACCCATCGCAACCGCCGGAAGGCGGCCTACAAACCACCTTCCGGTGATTCTCGGCCATCCCAGCCGGTCGACCAAGTAGAGCCGAAAGGGTAAAGGGCGTCCGAGGAGTGCCACTGCCAACAGCAGCGTAAACAAGAGCTTGCCACCCCGAGTGAAACCTGAGGCGACACCCCACTCGAATCCCATTAGTCGACGGGACCGGAATGTCTCTGTCGATCCTTCGGTGAAGCAGTAGACTGGAAGAGTCACACGTTCCGATGAGGGACTCCCCATGGATCTAATCCCCTGGCGAGTCGATTCCCGATTCCGCTGCCTAGAAACTTGCCTCGCAGAAGTGTTGTTGACAGAGAGCTACCAGATGTCTCTGACCCCCCCCCCCCGAAACCTCTCGGAGTGTCGTCTCGAGTTACACTCTGCTCTCTGACGCGGAGGGGAGAGTGTCTTCCCCTGTGGCAGCAGGGGATATGATCTCCCCGGCTTGGATGGGCCTCTGCACCTATCCCCGCCAGGTATGTCTCATATTCTGATCACGGGCGAACCCCGAAGATTCTGGCTTATCAATCGAAGAGATTGATGGATGCCGGTCCCCGAGGGGAGTTCCGTGCCGTGTTCCCATCTCATGCCATCTTGGAGGATCTTCATTGTTCATCGCTCTTTCGCATTCGCACCATCATCCCCCCCCCCCCCCCCAAAAA